TCCCTAGGGCCTCATAAGAAGCCTGACAATGGCGGGGCGGAAGGGACTTCGTGGGGCGTGGGCTCGGGCGAGGCAATGGGACAGGATGGAGTCTTTGAGGGCTCTCCTGAAACAGGGCCCTCTGAAGTCAGGCTGCTATTGAGACTGCCGTCTGGGCTTGGGATGCCCAACTTCAGCCTCGTGAGAGGGAGCACTGAGCCCCCAGTGTGTGAGCCTGGGCCCGGCTCTGCCCCACACAGACCCTCTGAGCCGCTGCGGTCCCCCCAACAGGGCCGAGCTCAGTGGAAACGAACGACTTAGGGACCCGAACACACCGCGTCACCCTGCAGAGGGCAGGTGCTGTGTCTGGGAGGGGCCGGCGGGGCCGATGGCCACCTTAGCCTGCTTTCCAGCCTCACAGCAGCTGCCCACTCTGTGCCCTGGTGTCCCTACCTCGTCGCCATCGCGAGAGGAACTTTGCTCACCAGCCCCCGTGGCCTCTCTGAACATGGGCCTGTGCTCAGAGGGCAGAGGGGAGGGGAGAAAGCTGGACAGAAGGCCTTGTCCGGGTCCCCGCTAGGACTCCTGGTTTGCACAGCACAGTTGGTGCAAGTGCCCATGGAGCCTGGGGAGGACCAGAGGGCTGACGGTGTGTGCAGAGCACTCTCCACGCCGCTGCCCATGCCCGCTGTGAACAGGCCCAGTCAAGGCTGCGCAGACCGGGCAGCTCGGCCACGGCTGAAGCCCCTGCACCTGGCTCCCTCTGCCTGCCCAGCCCTGCTCATGGCGACTGGGGTCTCCTCTCCAGGGCTGGAAAGCAGGGGCTGGGCTGCTCCAGGCACCTCCTCAGATGGAGGAAGAACAGATGCAGACAACGGGTCGGGGGCCTTGTCTGATGCTCACACTGACACATCTTCCAGGGCCCAAGGGCACTGGTAATGTAGCTGAGTTAGAGGTGCCACCACCTGCATGGCCCTGGGCCTCTTGGGTATGTCTAGTCAAACCCCTTTACGTGTCTGGGAAACCGAGGCCGTGCAGGGCTGGGGCCTAGCCTGGCTCTCGGGCCTTGTTGCTGTGCTCACTGTGACTCCTATCTGCAGCCTGCTGGCTGTCAGGGCCTGGTTCCTGCTCCCACAGGGGTGGGGGCTGGGGCAGGGTCAGCCCCATGAGCAGTGAGTGGAGCTGGGCTAGGGCCAGGGCACGGCGACCTCTCACCCCAACAATGCCAGGAGGACAGGAGTGGAGTCTCAGGGTTCCACCTGCCACTGGGGCTCCGCCCATTACCCGGCCAGGCCCATGGCCGCTCAGCAAGGTCTGCTGGTGGCGGTAGGGCCAGAGTACCAAGCCCACGGTGGCCGCTGCGACAGTTCCTGGCTGACTCTTCCTGGGGTGCCCGCGCTGAGTGCTCTGTGCAAGGTCAGGCAGCCACTCTGGGACAGAGTGTGGGTAACCTCATTTACCTGACAAATATTTGCCAGGTACCCTGCTTTATTGAGCAACTGCTCTTCCTGGGCCCTGGGGAAGCCACGTGGAGAGGCTCACGTCCAGACCTGAGGCAGACACACGGCTGCAGAGCCGTCTCTTACAGGCCGAGATAGGTCGCTGTGGGGGCGTCATGCCCACGGGCTGACACGCCTTCCAGGAGCAGGCTTCCCGAAGGCCTGAAGGATGAAGCTCTACCTGAGCACAGAGGATGCCATCACCCTGCCAGGCCCCCAGGAACACTGGCCGGTCTGGCAGAAACGGTGACAAGCCCTGCTGTGCTGCGTGACCTCGAGCCAGCCAGTCCTGTCTCTGCTCTCATCAGTGCCTGGAGGAGGTTGAACCAGGTTCCTGGGCCTCAGGTCTGGAGGGAGGGCCGGGGATCAGCTTTGAAACAAGCCCGCTAGGCATCTCTGAGGCAGCTCGTCCTGTGTTTGAGCGTGAGAAGTCGTGTGCTTGGAGCACAGAGCCCGATGCCATCCGGTCACAGCGGTCCTGACCAGGCCCCTGGGTGTGGCTGAGCTGGGGCAGGGGAGGTGCCAGAGTTTGCAAATGCCAGTGCCCTCAAGCTCCTGTGCTCTCTGGTGCCCCAGGGAAACCCGCGGTCTTGGTCCCAAAGCTCCAAACCCCCTGGCCAATTCCCTTTCCTTTATGAGCGGTTCTCCCAAACCTGGGACAGGCAGGGATGCGGTCAAACGTTAGAGCCAGGGCGGCTGGGCAAGCCTTCGTCAGGTCACACGTGGGCACTCTCCCGCAGGGAGCCGCAGTCTGGGTTAGTATGAAGGCCCCTTGCTACGGCAGTGCAGCACGGTCTGGGGGCTAGCCTGGCTGGAGCTGAGCAGGGCTGAGTTGAGGCCATCTGGGTTCCATGCTGGGGGCGGGGAGAATGAGGAGACTGGGGAGGGTTGGAGCACTCCCAGAGGGCGGCCACTGGCCCTCCAGTGTCCTAATACCCTGGGTGTGGCGGAGACTCGGCATGGCCCTTCCCAGCTCTGAGCCATTCCCCGCATCTGTAAGGAAACTTGGCCATCTGCAGGGCCGCAGAAGAGCCCGTAAGTGACTGTCCCCCGTTCCCGGCCTCACTCCCTCCTCTGCTGCCGGCCGGGGTCCCCTTCGCTCCCTCCGCAGGCGCTGGCTGTGCATGTACTCCGGGCAGGCCTGGTCCTGGGCTCCATCCTCGCACCAGCAGGCAGCCACCAGGGAGGACCAGAGCCCCGCTGTGTTCCCCGTGACGTGACCACCCCTCTCCCTGCTCCGGGTTCTTGGACGCTCTGCAGAGAGCCTTCTGGGTGGCCCTCGGACTCGGCCTCACAGGTTGGCTGGACAGCTGCCCTGGACTAGCACGTGGTCACGTGAGAATGGACAAAGGGCCCCCAGCTGCCGTGGGTGGCCGGCGCTGCCGAGGGCTGACCTGCAGGGGAGGCTCCGAGCAGGGCTCTGGAGGGGGCTGGGTTGTGAGGCCATGGTGGACAGTTTGCTCCAGGAGGGAGGCTCAGGTGCCCCATGCGTCCTGGGGCCTCCATCTCGCCCAGGGTTCGTGCGCGTCGTAAGCTGAGACCGGAGTTCAGTGACTTGCTCTGAGACAGAGCGGAGGCTGCTCGGGTCGGCACACCCAGCACTGCCTGGCGGTCTCCTGCTCCTTCGGTGGAATGGGGGTGTGCTCCCCTCCCGGCCCTCCCGGCCTGCTGTGGAGCTGAGCGCTCGCTCCCCGCCCTGTTGACACGGGCTGTCGCTGTGCTGGTTCTGTTGTGACCCGGTCAGCCTGGCAGGGAAGTGGCGGGCTGTGTGCAGAGCGTCCCGAAATAGCCCCGGGCTCCCGC